ACCTCTATCACATTTTAAATAAATTCCTGGTTTGTGGCGTTTCTCATCTCCATTGATCTCTAAATCCCAACGATATAATTTCAGATTTTAATGAGACATTTCCTCTCGCTGATCTGAAGTTGTACAGATTGGTATCCAGGCGCAACCAGTGGCAGAATTCCAGGTATGGATCTAAAGAACGTCCTGGGGAGAAGGAAAAAGAAAGGGGAATGCATCTACCGTTATCCCAATAGAAAGGATCAAACGGAAGGTGAAAGTAGGGGTAAAAACAGGGATGCTACACAGAATGTAGAAAAGATCAATTGTGAACTGCAGGAAGAGAGAAAAGGGTGGAGAGAGAAAGGAGGCATTAGAGGATTCCCCCAGGTAAAGGAGATTGTTGTGTCTCATTGTGTTTGAACCGATGCAGACCAGACAGTTCCTAATGCTCCCACAGCTCCTGCAATGCTGCTCACAATCCTCTGCTGCTGAATCTTTTGTTCGCTCCCTGCCTCCTTTGTGTGCTGCCCTCTCTGTCTCTTTCAGGGGTTTGTTCAGTGGTGTCTTTTGTGCAATACGTGTAAGCCCAATGTGAGGGATGTGTTTGAGTGCAATCACGTTCTTCAGAGGAATGCCACCGTGATTCACATGCATCTATATTTTATGTGCAGAGCCCATAAATTGATCTGGTGGTCAGTTTTGCAGTCGCTTTCAAAGTTGGATGCTTATTTTTGGCAAAACTCAAATTATTAGGGATCCCTCAAACTCTAAAAACTAGTAAGAAGCTCTTTTCTTTTGCATTAGTCCATCTTATTGATTTATTTAATACACTGTTGGAGAAATCAATGCGACTAAAGAAAAACGCATGCATGACTTTCTCTATATCTTGGATCGACATAAGTTATTGTTTGAACGTTTTCCATGTGATGTAAGGCTGAGTTTGTAACTGTCTGTGTCTCTGAAGGTTCAGGTTACTTCAGCAGTAGACTATGTGACTCATGGTGATTCCAAATCAATTAAAAAATGATTTACGTACACAAAAGAGAAATTAAAAGTGATAAGTCGTATTATCCAAGTATCTTCAGAAAGTTTTGCCATTGAGCTGAAGAAGCCTCTGATTAAATCTAGCGGCTCAATTGTTTTGGGCAGCATAGATAATATTGCATAGAAACATGTCCTAACCATCAGTTATTGGCAACCACTGCTGATCCCCATCATTTGCTTTTGCTTCTCCTCATTAAATCTGTTTCTGGTCGGAAAGCCAGGCAGAGACATGTTCTTTATGATCGATGGAAGATATGGTTTGAACTTTAGCTTTTGAGATGCAAATCAGCTGCTCCCTGTTGTGAAAACACCTTGTTGCCACGGTTATGCATCATAACAACCATCAAAAAACCCGTCGAGGCACACAGCATCCAAAAACAGAGGGAGCAATCATCCAAACAATACCTCCAATATTCTGCCTCCATGTTCATTTATTTAGCAAAAACATAATGATGGTTCTCCATCATTATGGGATTGATTTATGATCCTCTGTACATTTATTTTTCTTCCATCCCGACTGAATCGTTCAGGGAGTCCGTCGTGTTTTTTCTTTGAACTTCCCTTCATTTTTTATATTTCCTTCAGCTCGTCTTTTTGTTATTTCTCTAAGATTAGAATCGGCTCGTGAGCATTCTGACAGCATCTGTGACTGCTTAAAATTTTGACTGTCAGCCTCACTAACAGTCTGCTTCGCTGAGCTTCCTGGCATTGATTTGATCTCTTATCAATTTTCTTTCCTATTACTTTGTGAGGAAAAAAATATCAGCATTTATGTAGAGGAGTTCACAGAAAGTTATTTTACCTCACAAGTCTTTAGTTGCGATACAACGGAAATGTCTTAAAAGGAGTGTGTTCCAGAGATGGTGAATCCTAGATCCAGGAGAAGGATGAACTAAGAGTTGGTTGAATGGCAAATCTGCCCTGGACATGAGTGTTGAGGATACATTTCTAGAAACATCTAGGATTTTGCTGCGGCAGGTTTGTCAAAGAAGTCCACAGAGGAAAAATCATTTTTTAATCTGTTAACATGATTCTGATTAGCCTCCAATATGGTAGTTACTGTTGCTAAGGTAACTGAACATAAATATTTAAAGCAGGGCTACAAGAAAAACTCAGTAAAAAAACAAAAGAATGTTCGAGTGGCTAAATGGTACCAGTGACTAACTGTTTGGCGAAGAGTCATCATTGTGCAGAGTCTTCCACAGTCTCAACCTCCCATCACTCAAACGATGGTCAGATAACGAGGAGGTGGAGAAGGGTCAGGGATACTGCTGTCAGATCATCAGTTCCTGAAACCACACACACACAAAAGCTCACAGAATCAGAGTAAAAAATTCTCACAGAATCAGAGTAAAAAAGACTCCATCACTTAAATCCCCAGTGATGTTTATGACGCAGTTACCGACAGGTGTGCTGTCTAACAGCAGGTCAGCAAAAAGCTATGCAGCAGAGATCCTCTATACAAGAAAAACTCACACTCACCTAAAAAAAAAAACAGAACACACACACACTGGATTATGATAATTACTGTTTAGATCTTTCTAGAATTACCATTTTAAAATGGAAACTAATAAAACCCCTTAACTTTGGGGGATAACCCCATCCATCCATCCATCCATCCATCCATCCATCCATCCATCCATCCATCCATCTGTGGATCTCAAATTAAATATCTGTGATTTTAAACAGAGATATTTTGTTTTTACATTTTAATAATAATAATATATCAACAGGAAGTATTGTTGCAGTTTCTCAATTATTTGTTACATGGTATGAGGACCTTTGGAAAAGAGTAAAAGAGTTTTTTGGCTGGTCTTATGCCATCCTCTCAGCATTTTCCTTTTCTCTTAGACTCATGTTTTTTTTTTTCCTTTTTTTTTTCTATCACTGTGTTAATAAAACTGTTGGTGTGGCTCCGCTCTGCTTCCCTGTTGCTTACATAGCATTCTGCTGTCTGAGATTTCTCTTTGATACAAATGTTTGCTATCACAATAGGGCAATTACAGTGTGCTTGATGGTGTTTGAAGTGTGATTAGATGTTTCATTTGCCTTTTAATATTTATACATACTGTCAATTTACAGCATTCTTGTATTGCTGTTGAGGTTAATCTGAAGGGTAGAAACTACCTGTTTCTGATTCATTGTTTTTGCACGTTTAGCTTTCAGAGAAAGTCAAGCAGTTTAAATCTTGTACACTGATTTGATATCTGAAGATTTAAGAGTTTTCAACTCTTAAGAAGCTTCTTCGATCTTGACTGAGTTATATTTTATTTTGAGAAGCATTTTAAAAACATTTTTTTTTTCCCCCTTTGTCATTTATTTTAGCTAAGGCAAAAAGCAAAATTTTCTTGTCTCAGTTAACATCATAAAATATGTTGTCTTGGCCAATTTGCTCTTGGTTGAAAAGCATCAAGAAGATGGCTGTTTAAAGTGCTGAACTCTCAGTTATCTCACTTTAATCCATTAAACAGTGTTACAATGCGGTGTGGTGGGAGATGGTGCCTCGGGCTGCCGGTTTGGTGCACACAAAAGGAATAAGAATATGCTGTGGTGGGTTTCTTTAAGCCAAAACATGCGTAATATCCATAAAAGCCTCATTAATATGGCAACAGGGCTACCTTTCCAAATTGGCTTGTACTCTTTTTTTTTTTTAACCAGTCACTGCTACATTCAATATTCAGTGTTTAATAAAAAAATGAGCTGATCCTCCTGAGAAATGATCATTTGTAAGAAAGGGTTTTAGGCTGGTTGATGTCGGCCGGAGAACAAAGGAAGCTGGGATGGCGCTGGATTAGCGTCCAGTGTGGTAGAACGCTGTTGGGAAGGGAAAAGAAAACGGATTCATCATAATGGACGCAAGGGAATTTATCCAAATTGTTCTGCCAAAGGCATTTTTAGTCACTTTTAAATCAGCATGTTTTTTCTATGGATTGAAGCAATGATGACATATGGTTTTCTTCTTGCTTTGCTTCATGTTCACATTCAGGTTAAGTAATGATTCATTGATATGAGCCGCATTTTTTTCTTTTTCTTATGAGTTTGTGTAGCAAAATGCAGTCCCTTCATACAAAAGGCAAAAGTTAGCTCCAGGAATTAGCTTCTTTAATCTTTTGCTGCCTTCCCATTAGAGCTGCATTATCTTCTGAGTGGAGCCACTTTCTAGTAGTATAATTGTATAAAATCATGCATTTAAAATGCTAAGATGTTCTCTGTAATTGAAAAGTCAGAACTTTGCACTAAAAAAGAAAACCAAAAATGGTACATTTATGAAGATTCATCTCGAATAGTATCTTTTTATTTTACCTTTTCATCAATAGAGAATTTTATGGGGGGGGTTGCAAATATGTGAACATAATCTAGAAATTCCTGACTTTTGGTGGAAGTTATTTTTTATTTTTTTTGATCCACAATGTCCCTCATACTTTGTTGTATTTTTACACCTGTGAGAGTCACCAAGTTTACATTTCCCATTTATGAGCATAATCTAGAAAAAAAAAAACTCAGCTTAGTTTTGATTTTTTGCCTATAATCGCTTTTATACTGGATTGTGGCTCATTGAGGTTGAATTTAAAAAAATGCCTTTTTATTCAGCTACAAATCAATTTTCCTGCTTCATTCATGCCACGCCACCTCACATTATATCATACAGTATTACAGTTAATTGTTTCATATTATATCCTGTAGGCTCACACTGTATTATGTTGTTTTGCATCATATATTACATTCTATTCCATTGTACCATTGTAATATACCATAGAGGATGATACTATTTCACATTATATTGTGACATATTATGTTTTATATTGTACCGCAGTGTTTCATATCACATTGTGTTACACTTACCATATTTTCAGGGGTATAGAGCACACCTCACTATAAGCGCACCCATAATGTTTAAAAAACAACTGGAAAAGTACATATATAATGTGTAATATTTGTCTTTATTTACGTTTCCTCTCTTCGAATTCTTCCTCCAGGACTGCCCTCAGATCCTGCCCTCCACTCAGATCTACATTCCAGCCGGGGTAATGAGGCCGATCACCCTGCTGGCTCAGAACCTGCCCCAGCCTCAGTCTGGACAGCAGAACTACGAGTGCGTCTTTCACATCCAGGGCAGCACGCACAGCGTCCCGGCGCTGAGGTTCAACAGCTCCAGCATCCAGTGTCAGAAAACCACAGTAAGATCAGCGTGAAAAGTCACACACATTCCAGGAAGTCATGAGTTTTTTGTGTCTTTTGTGTGTTTTGTGTTGCTGTTGGCATTTTAGAAGTCGTCATTTCTTGAGCTCCAGTCGGCGTTTTACCGATTCCAGCTCTGAGCTAACGTAGCACACGACCGGTCCAACGTGGAACGAAGCAGCAAAAGCGCTGGGGGTGGGGGTGGGTGGGGAGGTGGGGGGGGGGGGGGTGGGTGGGCACCGCCAAGCTCCTTTCCATCAGCTTGTCCCACACCTGTCAGCTGCTGCACCTCATTTAGCTGACTTCTGCATTACCACAGGTTCATGTTGCTGATTTGCGACCTCCTGGCGCTTCTGAACTCTACAGAAGGAAAGATCGAGCACCGGGCGCTGTGATCCTTGAATTCTTTCTGCCTCTGATGTTGGACGGTGACTCAAAAATAGTTCATGGGCATATCATTGAAGTTGATTTCCAGATCATAATGATAGCTCCTGCAGTTCTTTTGTGCTTCAGAGAGGTAAATCATGCATATTTAGTCGCTCGCCTTCCTGTAATTGCTTCACGGAAGTGATTGTGCTTTTAGGTTTGACTTTTAGGGTTGTTATTACCAGTTTTTTTGGCAGATTTGTCCTTTAATGACATGTCTGCTCTGAAGCCTTTTGAATATTGAATGAGCTGTAAAAACAGTAAGTGCTGTTCATCAAGCTGAATATTTAAATAGCATGGTTCTAAAGGAATTCTGGCCTTTACTCTCATTACTTTGAATGACATTTCTATTCCTTAGGCAAAGTAAGACACAGACTTTTGTTAGTTCTGGTGTTCTTCTCAGGCATTAATCAAACGCCTTCTAAGAAAAAAAGAGTACAGCGCTGTGAAAAAGTTTCCATTGTGATTTTATGTGATAGACAAACACAAAGTGGAGCATGACTCTAAAATTATAATGACACATTGGTTCCAAAGGTTTCAGAATTTAAAATCTGAAACATTTTGCATGCCTGGATATTCATTCTCCTTTACTATGACAATAAAAGTGTAACCAATAGGCTTTGGACAGTGGTGGGCACTCCAACATAAAAATCAGTCCCACTAACTCTAAAGTGCTGTAACATTACAGTGTATAGCAAAAGCTAATGCTAGTGTGCTAAATTCAACAATGTTGAAACTCGTTGTTTTGTCTTATGCACTTAGACTTCTTTCACAAGAATTGCTATTAAAATTGGCTCCCCTTTCAAACTGTCTTAAAAATATTTTGTAGGTCTATTACATAGAATTATATTAAAATATATAGGTGTGTTTTATGAACACTTGTTCCTGCCTCTCTATGCCTTTAACAGTGCAGATTGAAGAAGCTCCTCCCACATTGCCAGAACCACCATCACAGTTAGTTTTGGAGTGCGGTGCAGGTTCTCATTCCCAGTCTTATGATAGACTCTGATACATTCATTACTGCACCTCTGTTACTGCTGATGCTGTAGGAAAGAGCCAGAGACCTGCCTCTGCAGAACTAAAGACAAAACCAGATGAATTCATACACTGAAAACACACACACACACACACACACACACACACACACACACACACACACACACACACACACACACACACACACACACACCCCAACACACCCCTGCATTCAATTCTTCATTCCTCAGTGCACATCAATCTTTTATAAAATCCCAGCGTTATCTCTGCAAGAGTCAAGGAAAATAGGAAACGCACGGGTCTCAACACAACTTTGCAGCTGTTGATTGAGGTAGATACCAGAGGCTGAGCTAGGTGGAGTGAGTAAGCCCCCATTTCCCCCCCATCCCCGCCTGTCTGCTCGTCAGGTGGGACTGTGATAGGATCCAATTAGAGGGAGCTGTAGATAAAATGATGATGAATTGCAGCAGTGTGGTAGACTGACGGACACAGATACGCGTGCACACAAAGATAGACTCGTATAAGGTGAAAGAAAAGGCTTAAGGAAGCATAATAGACAAAGAGAGTCAAGGAGGAGGTGAGGGGATTAGGTGGAAACGATGAGAGTCCTGTATAGAAATGGATGAGAGTATACGGGAAAAACAGACCCAAGTTCAACAAGCAAACAGGGGGAAACAAACAAACAAATGAGGGAGAAACAGATGGAGATGGGAAGTTTTTCCTGGAATAAAATGGATGGGGAAAGAAAAAGCAGAGGGGGGAGGGGGGAGAGGGGCAGCCTGGTTTGGGTAGGAAGTTGTTCAACCGTGCAACACTGCTTTGATAAAACTCTCATTTCTCCTGGACTCTCAACAGGCGACAACGAATTTATCAGCCACGCTGGTGAAAACATGAAAAAAAAAAAACTAAAATACATTCCCAGTTCAGTGCTGTTGCATCTCACACTGTAATACATGGTAAAATCAAACATTTAACTTGAGTTCATTTCTTCAGCTGAGGAAAAAGAAAATCCAATTTAAGACATAAGCTAATTCAGTAGCTGATAAGTCATTGGTAAATCTCTCTAAAATAAGTGTAACATTTTTTATGTGTACTATACTGCATTAAGTTGATCTGAGTGCAGCCTTAGAGTGTAAAAAAAGATGTTACACGTGGTGTTTCTTCTAGCCACTCACCACCAGGCTAAAGGAGACACCATACTTATCTTACCAACAGCCACAGCTTGTTGTGGTCTCCAAGTCTCTACAACCCTAAAACCGAATCTCAAAAATGCCAATAGGTTTTTTTGAGTACTGTGAGAAAAATTGCTTTTCATGGCATAAACTGTTTCCAGTTTATGCCATGAAACTTCTCCAAAACTTGCCTGGGAATTTGATTTCAGATGAAACTAACATCAGGCTGGTGATATTTTAGACTCATGTGAGCTCCAAATAGAACAACATGGGATGTGATTATGGCTTAATTGCATTTTTGCTATTAAGCCATGAATAAAGTAGACTTTAATATAGCAGCCGATGTTAACTAAGGCATGATGAAAATTAGCAACATGTAGCATAGAGATAAAGACAAATCAGCATTCTGTGACTCCAGGCAGTTAGCGATGACTAACTGCTTATATACTCTTTCTATCTAGCTATTTTTTTGTATCTATCATGAGTAGACTATGCTAATTTTGTAATTGGCTCACTTACTACATGCAACTGCTATGCTGAAAAATTCTTGATATTAGTTTTCAGACTGTGACATCTTTAATCGTAATTAAAAAATCTTAAAAAGTCCAAAATTTGACTTTCTGAAACTTGAAGAAACCCTGTAGTTCCACCAAGAAGACGTAACAATTCTGAACCAAAACAAGATTAATCAAAAGAAAAAAAAATAAAAAATTAAAAAAAGAGACTTTTCTTTGCAGGTTTGTCTCCAATAAAGCTTCCAACCAACAACATCCATTATCTTCTGGCAAACTGTAATTATTAAATGATCAGTGCTCCTAGTAATGTTTTTTTTCATATGTCAGGAGATTTATTTATGCTCTTTCTTTATTCACTATATTACAGACAAAAGACAAAATGTGGTTATAGTCCAAACAGAAGCTGCAGAGGATCAATAGATGGAAATCCATCTGCGATTGTGAAGCGCCACTCCGGCCACCATTGTGTTGGGTATTCTCAGCAGGGAGGAGTGAGTTTATGTATCACGGCTCGCCTGCGACTCTTGGGTAGCCGAGGGTAATAAATCACAGGGAAAATTAGCCAGCAGTGGATGTACACTCATCCGTTCAATCTTACTGTCTCTTTGTGCATTATTTAGCCCCTCACCAAACAGTGAAACATTGAACTTGCTAAGTCAGATACACCAGGGAGCTGCAGAACTCATCGATGCAGAGACGAGAGAGTGTGTTCACGGAACGCACACAGGACGCAGGCGGGCAGCGGGGGATACCTCGTTTTTTTGTTGTTTTTTTTCCACAAACACAAACACACACACACTCACATGCATTTCCTCCCCAGGGGTTTGGAAGCCCAAAATGAAACAGACATATGGAGATTCTCCACATGATCTTCTTCCTAATCATGTGGAGCAGACAGAGACTGTAGTATCAGCAACGACCAAGAATTTGCTTTACATGATTTATTGCACTGACACACATAGATAGGTCTAGTGTGTGTGAAACTATGCATGTGTGTGCTTGTGTTAACTTCCTGCTGCAAGTCCATGCATCTGGCACACTCTGGCACAGCCAATTTGGGAAGATGAATGCCTCTGGGTGTGTGAATGCACATGCGAGTATGCGTGGGCGTGTGTGTGTGTGCGTGTTTGCGTGTGTGTGTCTGAAAACATATCTTAATCTGACTGGTGTCAGGCAGATTCACTTTGGGATTCATAATGATTTATTTGAAGAGTCTAATGATGACATATCTTCAGTTATTTAAAAACAAAACAAAAAATAGATTATTTTGGATTTTGTTTTCTAATCCACAGTATACATACATGCTTGAATTTATCATACTGGGGATTCCAAATAAGGTTTGGATAAACGTCTTTCAGCAAGATGCTTTCTTAGAAAGTATATGCTCTTTGGTCATCAGCAGCCAAGTTCAGGCTGAATATTTCACCATTTCCTGCTATGTCAGCAATCTAGATTTTGTTTTTTTCTTTTTTTAGTGCAGTTAAAAGATTTGGACGAAGTCCTCTGCCTCTGGTTTTATAGCTGAAGTCATTCAAACCCACAACATGATGCTACCTTCACTATACTTGAGAGCTTATAATGTGTTGAAAGTCTCACGTTCATTGGTCCATTAATACTTCATTTTTGAGGTCATAAATCTTAATCTGTGTCTGGTCTAAACATAAAACATCCGCCATTGGCATTTTTCGTGTCCATGAGGAAAATTACACTAATTTAGCTAGTAGCAAGTTTGTCTTTTTATTGGTGTCCCAACAAAACTAACATTCCAAGACGCACATTAAAATTGGAGCTTTTACAAAACCTTGGCTTCGAATCTACTTAAAATCTATGTTTACAAGTTTGGTCTGTGCCTTTGAACCAAGCAATTTAAATATAATAGTAAAAAAGAAG